GAAGCTCAGGTGCTACAACTGATTGCAGCTTTTAAAACAGAATACAAGTTCCAGATAAAACTTCAGAGGAGAATTTAAAAAAAAAAAAAAAGTAAATAATATATAATAAACAACATGAAAATACTAGAATGATTTTTAAGAAGACTGCTGTGATAGAACTGATAGGTTCCCCAGCTGATCATTTGACAACGACATGACATCAATTCTTATCACATACATAGGTATTCATACATTCATTCACTCTGTCCCTCCTTTAAAAAGCATACGCCCAGTTTATCCAGCTGGTGGACCATCTTCCACTTCTCTTGCTTGACATTCATTATAGGCTTTGCTCCTCAAGCTCTACTTTTCACTATCCTTTAAGGCACTTGCTCTATCTCCTTGCCAGGTATTCAAGCCACGTTTGGGTGAACTGGCTTACAGATAGAGCTCAGAGGGTTGTGGTTAGTGGTGTAGAGTCTAGTTGGAGGTTAGTAACAAGTGGTGTCCCTCAGGGGTCAGTACTGGGCCCAGTTTTGTTCAACATATTCATCAATGATCTGGATGAAGGGATAGAGTGTACCATCAGCGAGTTTGCTGATGACACAAAACTGGGAGGAGTGGCTGACACGCCGGAAGGCTGTGCTGCCTTACAGCGTGACCTCGCCAGGCTGGAGAGTTGGGCAGAAAGAAACCTTATGAAGTTCAACAAGGGTAAGTGTAGGGTACTGCACCTGGGGAGGAATAACCCCATGCACCAGTACAGGTTGGGGGCTGACCTCCTGGAGAGCAGCTCTGTGGAGAGGGACCTGGGAGTCCTGGTGGACAACAGGATGACCAGGAGCCAGCAATGTGCCCTGGGGGCCAAGAAGGCGAATGGCATCCTGGGGAGCATCAAGCAGAGTGTGGCCAGCAGGTCGAGGGAGGTCATCCTCCCCCTCTACTCTGCCCTGGTGAGACCGCATCTGGAGTACTGTGTCCAGTTCTGGGCTCCCCAGTTCAAGAAAGACAGGGAACTGCTGGGGAGGGTCCAGCAAAGGGCAACAAAGATGATTAGGGGACTGGAGCCCCTTTCTTATGAGGAAAGGCTGAGGGACTTGGGTCTCTTTAGTCTAGAGAAAAGAAGAATGAGGGGGGATCTTATTAATACATACAAATACTTAACGGGAGGATGCCAGGGGGATGGGAGCAGTCTTTTTTCAGTGGCGCCCAGTGATAGGACGAGGGGGAATGGGCATAAACTTGAACATAGGAAGTTCCATCTTAACATGAGAAGGAACTTCTTTACTTTGAGGGTAGTGGAGCACTGGAACAGGCTGCCCAGAGAGGTGGGGGAGGCTCCCACTCTGGAGACATTCAAAACCCGCCTGGACGCTGTCCTGAGTAACGTGCTGTAGGTGACCCTGCTCTGGCAGGAGGGTTGGACTAGATGATCTCCAAAGGTCCCTTCCAACCCTAACAATTCTGTGAATTCTGTGGGTCTGGTCTCATACAGCAGCTGACCCATTCTACTACATTACCATTTCCAGCCTGCACCCATCTCACATGAGGCTGCCTTGCCACTTTCATTATCCAAGCGTTTATCCCAAGGGAGCTCCAGACACAGCACTATCCAATGCAACTGGCTGAAAATCTGACCAACTAGTCTTCCACTTGCTGGAGAAGAGAAGGTTCTGGGGAGATCTTATTGTGGCCTTCCAGTACCTCAAGGGGGCCTACAGGAGAGTGGGGGAAGGACTTTTTACTAGGGCATGTAGTGATAGGACGAGGTTTTCACCTGGAAGAGGGCAGGTTTAGATTAAACGTTAGGAAGAAGTTTTCCACTTTGAGGGTGGTAAGGCACTGGAACAGGTTGCCCAGAGAGGTTGTTGAGGCCCCATCCCTGGAGGTGTTCAAGGCCAGGCTGGACGTGGCCTTGGGCAACCTGGTCTAGTTGGAGGTGTCCCTGCCTACGGCAGGGGGGTTGGAACTCGATGATCTGCAAGGTCCTTTCCAACCTAAACCATTCTATAATTCTATGATTTGATGAAACAAGGCATTTCATGATTATGTTAGTAATTTTATCAATGCTTTGAATGGCCAAACATTTTATTCTGAACTTCTGATACACTATATGCTCAATAAAATCAGCAAAATATTTCAGAATATTTCGTTCCACCAAACAAGCGACTAAACACCTTTTCTTAAAAACACAGGATGACAAAACATTTTGAGCTTTGAAAACCTTCCTCCATACAGAAATTCCGTATTTCCAGTCAGTTTTAATATTGTGACCAGGTTTAATATCAGTGTATAGCTGAATGCCTTTTCCAAAAAGGAAGGCCTTTTCAGAAGGCTATCTTCCAACACAAGGAGCAGTGTCAGCTGGGCACCACTCTTGCATCATCTTACTGACACACAGACTAGTTTTTTCCCCATAAACTTTTTATTACTGATGAAACCTGGTGATATACTCATGTTTCCCATAAATATGAATGTGTAACTATGAAAAAAGAGCAGAGTAGTTCTTCATGACAAACCATTTTTTGTGCCCATGCAGTTAAAGAACAAAATTAATTTGGTTTAGATATGCCTATGTTTTCTTCTTTGTGGTCACTTCTCAAACTCAAATATCACAACACTTGCAGAAAAAGCAACCTGGAGGTAAATTAAATAAGACACAGAAAAAGTAAAGTGTCAACCCATTAAGGTAATTTATACCAATAATGTGATTGTAAGAATCATGTTTTCCCAAAGAGGAAACAGAGTCACTATTTTTGACCTGCATATTTCCACGTAAAACAAAACTATCTGTCCAAAACATCTGTACGTGGAGTGCTGCAAACCAATTTCTAACCTACACAATTAGATTGAGATTTATCTATAAAAAATAATTAGCAAATAATTTCAAAGAAAAATTGATTCAAGAAATCCTTTATTGGGTTACTGATCACCCAAGCAGGAAAGAGGCCTCAACTTAAGCCAATTATTCACAATAAATTGTATGTAATATTTCTACAGAAAGTTAACAAGGGCAGTACATTACTTCAGGATGATGGCATTACAGGTGGGACAGTTCTTTCCTTCTGCTCCAGAGTCAGGCAAAAGAGTTCTGATACCACATAACCTTTTTCTCAGCTATCTACAATGGAACAGGAGGGGTCACTGTGTAAAGTCTGGATTCCAAAACTACTTATGACTCACCCTCTAACTATAAGTTTTTTAAAACTGAAAGGAATCAGCCAAACGAAATAGGAAAGTTTATATTTCCAAAACCAAAGAGGAAATTTATGCTCCAAAATGTAAGCCAAGGCAAAATTCCATCAGTACAGCAATGTACTAGAGCCTTGACTTCAGCCCAGATTTCTGCTGCCTGCTTTGATATCTTAGATGTTTTATCTACTCTGTGCAAGTCACTACTATGCATGTTGTGAATTCTCTGTAAGATCCAAAAGCAAAGCAAGATCAGTCATTACGAGTCAATAAAGAGTCATTACGTTCAAAATGACTACCACTGATAAGTGTCCTTGGATTTAGAAGAATGTTCCAGAAAAGAGACAAAGACAGTTACGTGTATACCAGCACAGGAAAGCTGTGAATTTCAGCAAGATACATAATGGGCTCCCAGAGAAGTCTTAGAAGACGCATTTTAGTTCTTCCAACACACAAGGACAGCTATTTAACCACCACAGAAATCTCCTGATTCTTCATATCCTAAAGAGCTCTTCCTCCTTGATAGTGTGTTCCGACACTCCCATTCATGTGCAAGTATTTCCATTTCTACTCATTGCCCTTAGAATATTCACCTTGCTGAAGCAAAATACCCAATATATCCATCACTGTACTGGGCAGTGTCACCTTGTCTCACCATAAAAGAATATGATTTGATCACATGTTATATAGTTTCTATTTACTGTGCATGCTCCTTGTTTCTTCATGTGTTTAAAAATAAGCAGGAAATTCCCCCATAGATTGACATAGTAATGGTTGGTCTTTTAAGTTCAGTAGTGTAGAAAGATATGTAAACAGAGGAGAAATGAGGATCCTAATTGTACTCAAAATCAGCAAACATTTTTGGGTCTCAGAAGTGAAGACCTCCTGCTATTCTCCTACTTCTATTAACTTTTGTTGGCTTATTGTCTTATAGGATAGAAGGCATCCAGTAGCACAAATTATTATTGCATGTACACTCTACAGTAAACCTTAAGATGGGAGACCTCAAAAGCATGTGGGTAAGATAAGTGCCTGTCACAGAAATGACATAGTGCAGCAAAAAGGAGTATCAAAAGAAGAAGAAAAGCACCAAGGACTAGACTGTAAAAATACATTCTGTATCGAATATTGGACTCCTTCCTCATACTAGGACTCTGGTATCCTTCTTCAGTTTGGGCATTGGGTTCTGGTATAATTTTTCAGCTGGAGAAATGCCTTACTTCACCTGCAGTCCCACCGTGAGATGTCAAACAGCATGGCCATATTCAAAGGGAATACGTATAAAAACAAAGCATTCCAGTTGTGTTTGTTTCTTAGGAGGGCTCAACTCCTGATGATGCCACAAGACTACGTTCTGAGTGAGGGATGAGAATAAGACCTTCAAAATCTAGCCCAGTGAGATTTTAAAAGGACTGAATGGAAGAGAATCACCAAATATATGAAGAGATACAACAAGGGTGAAGTACCTTTGTCGGAGATTTTTGAGTTATGCTTTTGTTTGTAACTATCTGAAACAGAGAAAGAAATAGAGGGTGAATCTTACATGGGGGAAAGGAAGACAAAAGGCAGAGAAGCCAGAAAAAGAGGAGAAAGAGAAAGTAAATATAAGAGATGATTTATTATAGGGCAAAGGAAAGTGGAGTCTTGCCGAGGACGTAATTATACTTCCTTCATGCAAAAACACCAAGAGCAGCAGCAGCAGCAGGTGGCAAACATGCAAGTCAGAGAGCAGCAGAATATTTTGCTGGAAGGGAAAAGATGAAGCCCTGAGTGCACCGAGCTGGTAGGACCAGGCTGGAAGCAGAATCAGCTGTCTGGGCTCTACTTACTGTCACAAACATAGGGTTTGTCATGATCATCCTGGGAGGCAGCATCATTCCGTCTCCTGCCACCTCCAGATCCCCGAGCCTGTAAGAACAAGAGGAACGTTAACATTATTCCATCATCCCTTGGGTCTCCTTGTACCCCTCGCCCTCCTATGAAAACATGTGATATCAACTAAGCAAATCCTCAGCTTCCATACAGGTTTGTCAAGGGTGGGCTTGACCCTTCATCTCCTAAGACATGCGCTATGTTAATGGACCTTGTAATGCAGTGGAGATCCCCTCCACAGACAAGCCAAACTGTTCATCCATAGCAGTAGGTCACTGCCAGCACATATTCAGTTGAGTATCTTCACGCATTCATTTCTGAAGACATTCAAATACCTTGCTTAACTGAATATGAATGAATGAATAGATGAACAGGTGTTAAGAGGATAAATATAAACATCAAATCAGCCAGAAAACAGGTCCCAAATAAAAGAGAGGTAAAATTATTTCCTTTAATATTTTCAAATGCAGGCTTGTTTGTTTGGTTTGTTTCGTTTTGTTTTCTAGCTGAAAAGCAATGTTTTGAAATGGCCTTCTGGGACAAAGATACCATGGCTAATTACAAAATGGAGCTTTGATCAGTTAGTGGGAAGGATTAGGTAACATGGCTACCTACAATAACAGAGAACAGGAATTACCCAGAAAGGTCTCTCTGCAGTTCTGTATTCCTACAACATACCAAGTTGGCAGCCCTGGTAACTGAAAACCTCTGTTTCTCCACAGCACAGGCTGCTCTCTCCTGAACTCCAGGGGTAAGAGCAGAATTCAGCATCAAAGCTACGTGGTCCTAACCCTTCTCAGCTGAGATGCTAACAAGGGGACAGTTGATATCTGTCCAGTGGTGGAGGCTGTGATGTGGAACTAGGAACTGAGCCAAGGCCTTCAGTTCTTTCATGTTCACTACTGTACAGTCTGTAGATGACACTAATTTTAGACCTGATCTTTATTTGAGGAAGTGATCTGCCGGTGGATTGCTAGATAGCCCTTTATTAATTCTGCCAGCTACTCTGTTCCCGGGTAAAAGCAACAAAATTGTTTCTGCTGCTCCTCTTACTAAACTGTTGATGTTTCTCACCCTAGACAAGGTTGCCTGACTCAAATCCTTTGAGCTTTTGCATGTGAAAATAAGAAAGGGACAGAGCTTCATCAAGTAAAGCTGAAGAAGATGTAGAAATTCTGATAATATTAGGGTCCCTAGACACAAAGGGGTCATATGAGCTCTGTCCCTCTTCTATGGATTTGGGACTGAACTAGCACTATTCAAGCTGCATTCCATTGGACATCTAAAGAGAAGGAACACGGAACAGTTTTACACTGGCTTGCCACAGTCTGTCAAAACTGGGATTTATAAAAACTTCACACATTATTTTCCTGGGATTGCTTGGGTCTAATTCTTCATACAGTCCTGAAGGAAAGACATGGATTTGCAGCTGTCTGGATGGGGTAAATGCTATTAGGTATGACAAGTATAACTCTGCCTTCTGCAAAGACCTCTGTGCGGATCAGCACACACGTGCAGAGTGAGATTTGTAAGGGTGAACTGAAAAGCAGTTTCACCCTGGAAAAGGCCTCAGTAACAATTGTTTGGTGGAAGCTACTTTACTGACCTTATCACATAAAATCATCTTACTAGTCTGCAATATTTTGTCTCTGACTGCCAGCTCTTTAAACCCCCTCTGGGCTACGAAATCAATCCCAGGGTAGTTCCTTTCTTCCCTCACTGCTGTAAAATGTGCTGCAAGCTGAATTTTGGTCCATAGCAGCTCCTATACAACCCTCAGCTCATCAGAGAGTCTTCTTAGAGACAAGTGATTGGCCCTTAATAAATGTTTCTGCTGATACCTATCCTACCAGCTGCATTGGCTTTTCAGGGCTATGAAAAAGCTGTAAAGTCTTATTTTTGTCACCAGTCAGTAGGTCTGACTCTGTTTACATAGTGAGAACTGATCTGTTGAGTAAGAAGGCACTATTTTTACATAGGCACCTTTCAGAACAGGATGGTAATTTAAGGTCTGTTGCTTGGAGTTTCACTAGTCTTACAGCCAGCTGTTTCCCTTCAAACCATTCTCTACAGAAACACAAGGGTACAGCATTCATGTCATGACCGCACGTCAGATATACTTTTTCATGCACTGAACACACAGGGGGAGATTTTTCAAGTCAATGACTTTCAATGAGACTTGGGTTCCTAAATGTCTTTAGTGCCTTTGAAATTGTCCCATGGGATATTCAGCTGACAAGCAGACAATCTGTACAGGTGCAGCTGCATTCCTCTCCTGTCTCCTAAAAAACTATCCTTCCCAGCTCCTACCACATTCTCCTTGTCCAGTAAAGATGCTAAAAAGCTCCTTCTGTAAATCCATCTCTTTGGCCTTCAGCATCCTTCCTAATGCTCCCACCATTTCAGGGCTAGCCTTGAGGGGGTAGTAAACCAGGCAGCTGCCCCAGAGGCACTAAATTGAGTGCCCCATGCTTGCTGTCAGCACTCCAGTCTGCTGAATTCAGTCATCCACGACTGCCTTCATTCTCCTGATGGGATGCAGCAAAGACTACAAGACTTGACATGTGAGGCCTGGAAGCCATGGCACAGCAGCCTTGAAGCAGCCCTGAAGCAGCCAGAGAGAGTAGCCAGAGGGACAGATGGAGAACCCAGGATTAAAAATAAAATCATGCTGTATGGAAAAGAAAGGGCATGTGCAATTTGGAAAGTCCGGACCAGAAATTCTGTCACATTAATCCTGCATCGATGCTGTCAGCCCTTCTCACTCCTCCTCCGAATCCCCAAAGGCCACACTCTGCAGTATCTAGTTTCCTATGCATGTCCTTCCCTCTTCTGCCCTCTAAAAATACCCTAAGCAACTCCTTCCCAGAAACAAAGTGCTGCCCGGGATTCATATCCCCTAATTTCAAATCCTTGGTCCTGATTCTCTGTACTGGGTCAGGCTCACATTAGAAAAGGGCTGCTTGAGGAGTGGCAAAACACTCGTGACCAGATGCAATTCAGGCTGCAATTCAGGCTTACCAGTTTTCAACAGCTAGGGAATCTGGCCCTAATTTTGAAATCCTAATTTATACCACATTTTGCTTTGGTTATTGATGCCATCATACAAAAATGAAAATTGCTCAAAGTATTTGGCACTCTTCAGACTTCTCTTTTTTGCACTGAATGAAGCCAGGGCACTAGCAGAGCAGGAGTTAGTTGCAAGAAAAAAGCAAGAGATCCTGCTGCTCCTGTACTTAATAGGGGGCCGGTTCTAGGGCAGAAAATAAGACGTAAATTTATGCTTCAAAATGAATGGGACATCTAGTACCCTCTAACTCCTTTCCCCACAATAGCAGAGAAAAAGTAATAGAGCTATTCTGAAACAGTTTCCTGAACAGGGGAGTAAAACTCTGCACATAACATTCACTTCAGGACTTTGTTTGTGTAGGCCTGGGATATAAGAATATAGCAAATTGCCTTCTCCTGAGCAGTATATTTCTTTTAGCTATTCACTCTTTCACTCACTCTAACCAGCATGCGCAATTTATGTGAGAGCAACTTATTAGAAAAGAGTTGTTAGCCTGGAATATTAGTTGATCACTACAGTCAAGCTTGTGTGCATGTATCGATTCTAACTCCTGGTTTTGGTTACTGGTTCATACAAATTTTCTGAAACTTACATTTTTCTGGAAAATTTTTTTCCAGGTGGGGGTCTTTGGCTAAGAAAGAAAGAAAGAAAGAAAGAAACTGGTTCAGGTGATTTTGAGAATAAGGAAGGTGAAATATATACTTATCCAATTATTAAAGTGCTTTGATCTTATATTAAAGGACTTAAGCTCCAAAATAAAGAGGAGCAGAAAACTGAAACAACACAACAACAGAAGAAACCAAAAGAGAGGGTCTGATGCATAAGTACATTGCAAGTATTCAATGTGGTTTCATGTCTCTCTCTTATTCAAAAGCTATTATATCCTACTCATTTGGTCTAAAATGTGGCCCTTCTTGCTTGACTCCTACAAACACATCAAAAGGTACTTCTAGAGCTCCTGTGCCACTGCAGCATCCGCTGGAGCCAAAGAGAGATGAAAATGCTCAAAACTTCTGAGAATTGTGGTCACGATTATTTAGATGCCTAGCTGAAGGGGCCACAATTGAAAATGTTGATTCCGAGTTTTAAAATGTTGGCCTTGTTACTTAACTGGTGCCTTGCTGCAATTATGAAAAGACATCTTAGGTAAGAGAAGGGACACAGACTCCCCTACAGATAAAATATTGCCCATTTTAAGCAAATGGAAGATTTGCCATGGGCTCAAGAGAGCCAGTGTCAGCCACAATGTGCTACCTTGGAGAAAGCTGCAAAATGTATTAACACAGTTCAAGTTACTTTTATTAATTATTTTCTTTTGACTGTCATGACTGAATTTGTTGCTTTTCTGTAATTAGTAAATGTTGTTTTAAAGTAAGAGCATTGTAATAGCAGGATGACATCATAATTACTACAGTTTACATTACAATTGTTGTACATTACAACACTATAATATATTTACCCCAAATTTTTACTCTCAAGAGTCTTTTTTCTTGGTAATTCACAAAAATAAACTGAAAAAATATGTAAAAATCTTCAACCATATAACTGAAAATTACCTACAGTGTAATTATCACTATCATATATCCATGAATATACAATTTGCATATACAACGTACGTGACAAATATACACTAGAAAGCAGAGGTTTTCTTCCTTCCTTTCCATTCCAGTAAAGTTTCTACCTACCCGTCCTCTAGGCCTGTTCTTTCGTTTTGGAATATCTTCTTCCAAGTCCTCTTCCTCATTCACTTCATCTGCATTTTCATCATTTTCTAAAACCCTCTGTGGTTGAACAATAAACAGAAATGGTTAGAAGAAAAGAAGATGACACATACAACCAACTGCTGCTCTTTACCACAGAGACTGCAGGTTATTAAATTACAGTTGATTAATGATATAATGCCAGATCAGATCCCAGAACCCCTACTTCTTTCTGCGAAAGCAAATTTTGCTTTCCCTTCCACCCTCAGTTCTCCAGAGAGTTCTTATTAAAAAATACCACTGATATCAGTCAACTACGAAAAAAAGGTTCCTAAGAAATAACAGTGGCATCACTGAGCACTGATATCCCACAACAACACAAGTATTAGTATGCATAACTGCAGGCCCTGTCTGGGAAATTGTTTGCATTATTTTTTTATTTTGGTTTCTTGCACCTTAAATTGTTTTGTTTTCCTCTGATGTTTAGAAAGCACTTTAAGAAGACAGAAATCAGTGTTTTTCTCCTTGGCAGCTCAGAATTTTCTTTGTTTAGCAAAAATAGAGAAAATTCCCCCATATATTCCAGCTTGTTTAGTGCGTCATGTTTAGTAACATCTTTCAGGGCTTACACCACAATTCTGTAATCTGGAAGCAGGGATCTTGCTGCATGAGAACGCTGTGGAAGTACAGGTCTCATTGAAGTTAATAGGAGCAATAGCAATAGTTCCTTCAATTAATTATTTAATAGGAACAGTAATTCATCATCTCGCATAACAGTGAGATGGTCCAGGTGAGGGAATTTCAATCCTTTTATCTTGATCTTTTGAAATGTAACTTCTATAAAATCAAACACAGGCTGGCTGCCCTGAAAACATGCACAAGTCGGACATCACACAGACAAAGGCAAGACAAACCACCACAACATTAATGTGGAAAGAAGTCCCACTGAAATCTCCTCAACCCTTGGCATGTCTGCTAGAAATACAGAAATGGACCCCAGCCATTCCTGCCATTCATGGTGTGGTGTTATTTCGTAAGGGACTAATCTGGAATCACTAACTTATCTTTGCCATGTCACCATTCATTTAAATTACAACACGCACCCACGATGCAGATTCAAATCAGTGACTTTAAACTGATGGGGAGTGCTTTCAGTCTTTTACTGTATTTGTGCCTTCCCTATAATTTCTACTTAACAGATATTTGAGAGCCAGCAGAGGGAGAACAGGAGCAAAACACAGTTGCTTTCTTTCCTTCCTTCATACCTCAAGCACTGAATTCTAAATTTGTGGGAAAGAATACAACAGAAATTTCACTTTAAATAAATCCTGTATTTGGAAGCCTAACTATACAAATTTATTCTTAATTTATTAGCTAAATTTTTAAGACTAATGTTGGGCGCTGTCCCTTTTAAAAAGTACAAACAACTTTTAGAACATGGTAGAGGATCAAGTCTTAATCTGGTTTTTGCTCCTTTTATTTTTAAATCTCAGGAGGCTGTTAATGAGGTCAGACCATCATGAAATATAAGTTCACGTAACTAGAGTACTAAATACTAAAGCATGAAAAAGTTAAGCAAGTTCCAGTTCTACATACATAAAATGTTTCTCCAAAATTCATGCAATTGCATACATTAATTGACTGCGTTTTAGAAAACTGAAGCACTCAGAAAACGTTGCACATGAGTAGACTAGTGCTATGTAAGAAAACATGCAGCCTTACTGATATAAGCTTATATTTTCACAGTGCTTCATATCTTAAAGTATCTCCAAAAAAAAGAGAAGGCTGCAACTATACCATATGTGGGAGGGAAAGGAGCTAGCTTACAACAATAATGCTACACAAGAGCAGTTAAGAGAAATATTAAAAACCACTTTCTTCATTTAAAATTACAGCATCAATTTAAGAAAGAGATAATAAGTAACCAAATGTGAATTTGGGTTATGACTTTAATTCTTGGTAGAAGGGGCATAGCCTTTCTGATGTGTTGGTCAAAAGGCTATTCTAGGCCTCCTCCAGCAAACAATGCAGATACACATTCAATACCAATTTAGTGTAGGGCAAAATCCTCAACACTGTTAAATACCAACTGTACAGCAGGTCCATGCCCTTTTTAGCAAAGTAACTTCTCTTTTCTTATTCTCTTTCTAAAACAGTTTCCCAGCCCAATATACTTCAGTGCAGCTTAATACCAAGTCGTCTTCTGACAGATACTGTGATTTTGAGGGTGGTAAGTGGCTGGGACTGAGGTGGGAATTACAACTATCTCTATCCCACCTGCTCAATCTCACCACCACTGAGGCTGGGCCCGTTCAAGTTACAGCACAAAAGAGCATGCTAAGCAACAAAAGAGAGATTTGCATTCTCTTATTTGTCATACGGATAAAAGGCACTGATGATGATTTTGGCCTGGTACAGTCCAGCTGCCAGGTGCCGAAGTACACACTGAAAGCTGGCTAGTAAAAGTAAAGGCTTCAGCAATCGTTTTTGTATAGACTGAATCCAGATAAGCTGTGCTTGCATAAGAAACAACAGCAAGACATGCCTTTTGCATTTGTTCTCATGAAACCTGCATCCAGGTGACAGGTCACAGCTACAGCAGTTTAGCTGAAAACGTTTTGTATACTTTTGCACTCCCTCCCTCCCTGCTCTGCAATGCCCAGACTTGCGTCAGTTCCACCATGTCTGAAGTCTCTTTCCTTGGACTGCTGCTGGGGATAATTTGGGAGCTCAGATCACACAGCAACAACCAAAGGCACTTGTGGATCTCATAGGGATGCTGCTCCATGACTTCTTGTGAGCTTGGAAGCAGGTATAAACACAGCTTTAGGGCTCTCAGCTTAATAGACCCAGATACACTACTGAAGAAGGAAACACAGAGGGGGCCTCATGCTGAGCTTTTCCCCACTCCATGAGCATGGGGTTCTTCCTCTTTCATGGTGCTCCTTTACCTGTATAACTGGGAATGGGAAACCGAATTTTGCTGCCCTCGTATGTGTGAAATTTCTGTCAAATAGACCAGTAGGACTGAGCTCCAAGCGTATAGATGTGATGCTTATGCTCATTTCATTCATCATGGGGGCTTCCCATTCAAATTTTTACTAGTTTTAGGTATGGATGCGATATGTTGTATCTCAGCCAAGATTACCAAGTTTGACACATTGCCAGTGGCTCTCGCTAAAAATCACTGATAGGCTCATAGCACAATGGTTTTTTAGCATCATCAAAGATGTGCTGCTGCTCGCTCAGGAAAGGACCACTCTCCTAGCAATTAAAGATGTCTTTATAAAGTTACATGCCCTTATATAAGAACTCTTTATATTAGCTGAATTCCTTCTATGAAAGACCCATAAATGTGTTTCTACTTTTAATTGTTAAAGGATGAAATGGAACATTGACAAATAACTTTCAAAGCATAATGCATGTGAAAAGGCAATGTTTCTCATATGTGCATCACTAATAATGGGGTTAATAAGCATTAGAATATTTTTAGTTATTTATTTTGCTTGTATACTTCCTGAAGGCTTCTCAGTAGAAGAAAAGACAGGCAAGGCAATGACACATATTTGTTAGCAGCTGTGAATCCAACTTCAAATCCATGTCCAAATTCACTTTAAATATGAGGCACTAAAATTCAGTTTATGGTTGGGACTCATCTCTGCTTGTCAGTTTTATATGTAATCATCTCATAGTGCTGCAAAACAAATTCCGACACAGGAGCTGTGCAGAACACAGCCAAATGACCGAGATTCTTGTGACAGGAGAAGTGTGCGAGATCCCAAGTTCATTTTGAGCATCACAGTGTAGCACAATGGTTTGATAACATTTTGACAGTAGAATGACACAACTATCAACAGATGCACTGTTCTGTCACAGGACAAAATCTGCTAGGCTTAGAGACAAATTGTAAAATCCAGCCCTGCTGGCAGGGCATGGGGCTCTCCTTTACCTGGATTTCTTGTATAGTGTCTTCTTCTTTAGTGTCCGCTTTTTTCTCTATTCCCTCTCCACGCAACAAGGCTTCCAGAGTTGTACTTTCTGACGTAAACCCATCTTTTTTCAGAGGCAGATCAACTTCTGAAAAACAAAACACACTGAAGTCTGTGTCTGCTTACAGTAAAAAAAGGCTGGACATATTGTATCAGGAGGAAATAAATGGGGAAAGAAATCCTTTTCCTTTATGTAAACTTCCAATGCTTCATTCAAATAAAGAACAAAACCAGGGCTTTCTAAGATAGTGAAATAACAAATATGAAGATCTGATCTCCTGAAGTAGAAAGTTGTTTAATGCAATTTAGCATCTGGCACAGTTTATACAGCACAGCTTCAAGCAGCATTCTCCTACACCAGGGCACGTTTCACACAAGGGGAAGCGGTAAGCTAGTGTGTGGTGCGATGCTGAGAACTTAAACTGAACAAACAAAGGGATGTGTCTTGAATTTTCATTTAATATTGAATAGATAAAATCTTCAGTTTGTTCTAAATGGGCCTACACCAATGAAGAAAGACAAGTCAGCACAGCTATGAGTGCAAAATCCAGCCCTTAAAACAGGACGACCCCCAGGCACTTCTGGAAGAGCCAAAGGCTGGCCCAGGGCAGGGCTGGGGCATGGGACTCCAAAAGACAGTGTGGGTTTATGAGGAAGCTTGGTGCAACTTGCCGTACAATTGAAGGAACAGAGATTTATTCCCCTTCCGAATGCTGCAACTAGATTATGAGGCTGTGCAGCAGGCGGGCAAATACAGCATGTTAATTTTAGCATGATGTTAAAATATACCTAGGGAAGAATTCACTTTTCCTTGTAGATCCTGGCCTCCACCCCACTCGTGCAGGAGTTCATTCAGAGCAACCCCATGGCAGGGAGACATCCTGAACATCTCTTTTACCTGACAATGCCAGGTGTGGATTTCTTAAGTATTCCTTCCCTTCTAAAATTAATTTCTTCCTCTAGGCCAACAGATTTATAAAGTAATAAGGTACAGGACCAATGCTCACAAATCAACATCTAGTGTCCTTATTTCATAGCTCTGTCCACTTCTTATCTTTTAGGACTGTGTTGTGTTCCCCAGTTTGCCTGAAGCTCCCCTGCCTTTCTATCACCATGAGTTGTAAACTCTGCGTGGCAGAAATTCATGTGTTTATAAAGCCCCAAATCACTCCTGCAATCCAAATAATGAATGAACACTTCCACCTGGGACAGTAAAGTATAATCTGTTTCTTGGGGGCAATTGCATCCCAGGAATATGTTTATTCTATATATGAAAAACTCTAAGCCAGCAAATGATTCAGGGTCCCTGATCAGTGCTTCCACAACATGCTTGCTCGAGTCTTCTGAAGTGAGAGAGCATTGCTCAGCCAATAACCACAGAAAATCCAGCAAAAATTCCAGCAAAAGCTATTCTATTCATGGAGGGAAAGGCTGAGTACAAACCATGCAGAAAACCCAAACCACTGGGATTTTCAAAGGAAACTCCCAAGACAACCCACACAATGGGACAGGGTCAACAGTGAATTGATCCCCCTTCTCATCACAAGGAGGTCTATTCAATCAGACCTCTGTTTTCAGCATTAAGCTCTGCACACACAGCCCATTATGCCACCTTCCCCAACTTCTCCTTTACTTGAGCTATAAAAAAGACAGAGAAGTCAACAGAGAATAATACAGATTAAATTTCCCTGTATGAACTCCTAGTACCTCCCCCTGGATGCTAAATCCAGACATTTCAATAGAAAGAAGGGATTTTAGACTTGATTTATGTGCAAATCCCAACACTTGAATCTAAAGTCACTAAGGAACCTCCATAATCATCTCTGGCTGTGGGCTTGGCTTGGTTTCAAAGTCCTGTGCTTAGGTGCAAAAGGGCATTTCTTTGTATTTAGAACCTTGGGGGACTGCAAAACCCGAGGGGTCATCATACATGCAGCAGGAGAAGTAGCTTCAAGCAAGCTCAAGGGCATCGGAAACAAACATGTCTTCACTGTGACAAGCTATGCCTGTCTCTGGATACTGACACACTCAGCAAACGGATACATTAGAAAAAGGGAATGAGCAAGGAAGGGGTGAGGGATAAGTAAAACATATACATGAAAGTAAAACTACTTCCTGTTTGTTCCAGAGATATTGAACGTGAAGTCAGAGGGAAAGGTAGGCTTGAAGGTCAGAAAACAGCAGCTGTCTTTAATAGGCATGTTTGGTTTGTGTGGTGCTGCTACTTCCCACCCACAACACTCCAGGAGACTTTTCATCCAAAACTCCTAGAGCATATTTTAATTATTAAATTTAACATCCCACTGACAAGGCAGTGTGAGGTAATACTTTTATTCCCAGTTTACTGATGGGGAGATTGAGTCACCAAGAAGTTAAGTTAGCAAGCTGAAAATCCAGTGAAAAGAAACTCTGGGCAGCTGCCTCCCATCTGCCTGCTAAGCTTACTGCTGTTCAACTCCTTCATTTTCTTTTCCACTGGTAGCTTCTAGGAGTCCACTTTCATTCCTAAGGAGCTCTAGGAAGTGGGAAATGGCAGACGCTATCTTATCTGGAATGTAAAGTTTATAGTATAAAAACCTACAAAGGTCCAAAGACAACCTTTTAGTAAGGAATTCAATCTTTGTAATGAATTCAGTCCTTCCTGGAAGATGGCTAGTCTGTAAAGGATACAATAACGAAGACAAGAAATTATGTTTCCAAACCACTTTTTGAATCCTCAGAGATGAAAGTCTCCAAAAATCTAAACAGTGGTTCAGTTAACCTATAGAAATAGTTAAACACTACTAGGGATTATTCAATTCATTTCACTAAATCCTTAGTTTACCCTTTCCTATTTAACTCTCCAGGATTTTCCCACAAAAGCTAGAAAAGTATGTTTTTCTCTTATGCCTGTACCCCAAAGAAAACTGAGAAGCCAACTCAATGCCTGAAATGTAGTTTTCATGTGAAAGATCAAGGCTTCCCCCAGACCACGGGAACTGCTGTACAGAAGCAAAGTGAGGTCTGTTTCACCCACTGTTCTGCTTATGAAGTCACCAGCCAATGTCTGAAGCTTCAAACAAGGCCAAAGAAACAGTCTTCTAGGCTTGAGAAATTAAGGTGTGACCCCAAACTTCCCTCTGTTTGCTTTGATATTTATTGTGCTATACTATGCATTCATATCAGATGCTGCAGAAGAAAGTATGTATGTCTGTCAGGAGAGAAATGCAAAGAAAATAATCTACCCTAATACTAGATTTCATCCTGATCTCTAACAAGTCAATCCAGAGGGATAAATGCCGTATAACTTCCACTTATACTAAACCTGGCTCTTCTGGAAATGCACAGAATAGCCCAGCCCTTTCTGAATTTTGATACACTTTTGCCCTCAATTTTCTCCCACCTGAGTGAGTTCAACAGCTAAACTATGGCTTGAAAGACCAAACTTTTTTGTCATTTCTTTTTATTCCTCTCCTTTTGAAGATAAACAATCACAATCTTTTCTATTACTCTGCTGTGGGAAGTTTTCCATGTGGCTTTGTCTTGTCAGACCTCTCTGAACTCCCTGTTATTCTTCAAGAATCTTCCCAAGATGGACCAATACTGCACCTGATATTTTCAGATGAAGCCACATCCCCCGTTTAAACAAATGCATTACAATATTCTTTGTATTACCCCTCAGGCAGTGTCCTGTGGTGTCCAAGCTGCATACTAAGCAGAATTAGGGACCTTGTAACAGGACCAAGAACTTCTTGTAAGTAACACTTTCAACACACAGGTGACAATGTCCATCCCGCTGCCCATTCACCAAGCACATTCCCATCTACCGAAGGAGGCCCACACAGACTTCCCTGGCCACGATGGTTCTAAATAACTTTGTACTATGTGCAAATCTTGGTAGTTTACAAGGTACACCCTCTCTCCACCTTGTTCCTTACTATATTACACAACACTGGACCAAACACCAAACCTTGATGCACCGTTAGCCTTTTTCTATAATGAAAGTTCTTTGTTTCATTTTGTTCTTTGTTTCATTTTGTTCTTTGTTTCATCTTTTATTCTAAAAGTTTTGATCCAAGACAATGCTTTGTTTCTCTTTGGAGGCCTATTACATACCAAAGGGCTTCAGAAAGTGTAAGCAAATTGTCAACCACCTCATCTATTAGTTCTTTACATATCATGTAAAGAATTTTAAGAAAGTACTGAGATGTGCTTTTCCTTGCTAGGAAATAAAAGAGTAGTCAGTTAGAACCACCTATATCATCATTTCCCAGGTGCTTTACTGCTTATACCTAATTACCGTTTCAATCAATTTCTCAAATGTTCATGTAGAATTTATGGGTCTTTAAATCCTTGAATCACATCCAAATCCTTTTTAAATATAGGTAATAATATTTGCTACCCACTAATTGTTCTAAATTCTTTCTATTGTAACTCGTAGTTTGTATCACAAACTCTTCTTCAGACATTGCAATTTCAGAGAACATAATCTTTATTACAAGTAATAACTACTAGTAAAAACACTATAACTAAAACCTTACTCTTTTATATAAAAATTTTAAGAAGGTTTGTGGATAAATTTCCCTTTGATTAGTATTGCAAATGCAATAGCACCTGGTTAGCGTAGGAGATATAGGAAATAGTCAGAACCATACAAAATGGAAGTGTCAAATCAACAAAAATCACCAATGAAAAATAAAATGTTATTTAAGAATTCTTCCCGTTTTAATAAGCCACAGTATTATTGGTGGCACAGCTAAATATTGTGCATATATTATAATTCAAATATGTGTGTGTGTGCATAGAATTAAAATTTATGTTTCTTAACTTGGCAGAGCCCCTTTCATAGTGATTAAACTAACATGGTTATTTCTGCTTACCAGGCTCAGTGCAGCAACCTCTCTATTTATCAAGGTCCTTAGACCGCGGTGGTAGAATCTGAACAAGCACCCATGCCAGCATCATTGCTGTATCTGTTTTTTATTGAACTGCTGCCTCCAAAAGCAGCACATTTTCACAAATCCTACAAAATGGTGGGCTTTTTCAAGTTCTGATTCACCAAAATAGCTGCAAATTCCTGCCCTTAAATATGCTACATTTGGTTTACAA